GTCTGCGAGCGCTGCGCTATCTCTCTGCGCGCGCAAATTCGCCACCCTGGCACTTTCCATTGCGCGAGCGGCGCGTTCAGTTGAATCTCCGAGAATTGAGAAACTTATATTCATTGCATGTTATAGTTATTCTGTCATGGTCATTACCGATTTGCTCTGAAAGCCCGATTTCTGAACGTTCCTGGGAGCCTATTGTTTTTTAGTGAGGCGGGGCATTTTCTAAACCTCCCGGAAGTTTCCGGAACTTCCGGGGGCAGAATACATCGAGCATAAACAGTGCAAATATAAGTGCGTGTTGCTCTTTGCACGAAAACTGATTCGGAAAACGCTGGAGACAAGTTATGTCGGATATGCGCTGGGCGCGCAACGATCCCTTGGATGCCCCGCGTTTCGAGCTAGGCGGGAGCAGACTGATGATGGGGAAAGCAGGCGCGGGAGGAGCGAACCTGAAGCGACCGAAGCGGCAACGCGGCAACGCGGAAAGAGCCAAGCGTCGTCTCTTTTGTGCATTTTGTGTCTGGTTTCGGTGAGCAGGTGCCCGTTGTCTGTCATCTTCAGTTAGTCACTGATGAAAGACGATAGCGTGGAAGCGCCATCCGTCGCCATGGGCTGGAATTCGCACTCCGAATTGGCAACGCCCGTTTTCCATTCCGGATGAAGACGAGCTTGTGCATGTGAGCTGTGAGCGACGAAGCGGCCGCGCGCGGTTTTAGCTCGCGCAAGCCAGCCCTGGGCTGAACGTGTCTCGCGCGGCTCAACGTCACGCGCATTGCGTTTGCCGTCGCAAGCCATCGGTCCGTGAGGCTCCGCAACGGTAGCGACTAGCGTCGTAAAGCGGCGCCGCCTTCACGATCTCGGCACGATGTTGCACGAGGTAGTGCCGCATGAAATGATCAGCAAGGGCGTTGCCGGCGCGTCCTGCTTGCGCTCTCGGCGTCGGGGTTTGCCAGCCAGCCCCCATGCGGTGTCTGTGTCAGGCATTCGTCCGAGGCACTCAATCCAAGAAGCCTCATACTGTACCAACCCTCTTAATGTAGCTCGCGCAGAGCCGCTGCGACGCGGCAGCGGCGCCTGGTCCTTGCCTGCAGACGACAGCCGAATCGCCCGCCGTGATCGCTCGAAGCAGGGGTCCCGCCCCGAACCGAGAATTCCGATTGCCCTGGGTGCTTTCCCGGACGCAATTTGACGTGCCGCCGCGCGGGGACTTTCCAACACCTTGTTGGCATTTTCGTTGGCCAGAGCGCTGACGGCTCAAGCAGCTGGGTCGCGAGGCCGCGCTGCCCGTGCGCTTCGTGGCGAGATCCGGAAGAACGCGGCACGGAAGAGGGGTGGGAGGGATCGGTTTGGGGTGGCAGCAGGAGGTAGGGAGGATGGGGAGAGAGAAGATGAAGATGATCGGGGAGGGGAGGATGGAGATGGGGAGATGGGGAGGGATCGGTTGGGCGCGGGAGCAGGAGGAAGGGCAGGGGATAAGTGATCGAGGAGGGAGGACCAGGAGGAGGAGGGGGGAGGGGAGGGGGAGGGGGAGAAGGGGGATAGGGTTAAGGCGGCCTCTACAGGAGGAATATTCAAACATTGTCTAACACACATAGTCGGGGACGATTTGTTGCTGATTTTTAATAATTTTGCTTACTCCTGAGTATTTGTCTGCCTTTGCTTTCTATGTTTCGTCCAACATCCCCCTGCAGGAGGACACTCCCGACCTCAAGATAGGGATGGGGGGGAGGGGGGAGGAGGATAGGAAGGATGGGGAGGGGGAAGATGACGATGACCCGCTCGGGCAGGCGGGCGGCACTGGCGCGTTCGCAGCGAAGGAACGCGCGCGGGCGCGAGGTCGGCTGGCATGCGGCGCCGCCACCACGAGCGTGCACATGCGTGCGCGGCGAAGGGCCCCGGGGCGTGACATGAGACACGGGGCGAGATGGAAGGACAGGGGACAAGGGCGACGAGGGGCACTTGGCATCGCTCGGACGTGTGCATTTTTCCTTCGGCGAGGACACCATCGAGGAGCATCCTTGATCATTTCGCAAAAAAACCACGCACGAATCCGAACAAAAACACAGGGAATGGACGTCCGAGCGATGGCCAGGGCACGGAACTGGGTCCCGACGCTGCGATATGGCAGGGCGGGGAGCGCCCGCGCGGGTTCGCCGCGCAGCCACACAGTGCAGCCCCGGGGCGCCCGCTGGCTTCTGCGCCGCGGAGGCCGTGCGCCTCCCGCGCCTGCCCGGCCCAGGGCCAGCCGCCCGCCGATCGCGGCGGCCGCCGCCGTTGCTGCCGGGCGCGGCGCGGCGGCGTCAATCGGCCACGGCGCGCGGCCCCTTTGCGGCCTCAAGACGGCGGGGCCCCACAGGGGGCCCCACAGAGGGCCCCAAGATCGGTCACGCCAGGGAGGCTTCGCGTGACCGCTCTGGGTACCCTCTTGGAGCCCTCTCGGGGCCCCCTCGGACCCGTCTTCCCGCTTCTGGCCAGCCATCCATTCCTGGGGCCCTCGTGCGGCTCCAAGAGGGCTCCACGACGGCCCCAAGAGCGGTCACGCGTGACCGATCTTGGGGCCCTTTCGGGGTCCTGTTGGGCCCTCTCGGCGATCCTCTGGAGGTGTTTTGGGGCCCTCATTGAAGCCTCGTGGGCCATCTTGAAGCCATCTTGGATCGTCGTGGGGCTACCCTTGGCAGTCATGACGCTCTCTTCGGCTGTATTGGCGCTCTGCCTGGACCCTGTTGGGCTGCCTTGGCTTTTTGGGGTCTCTGGAAAGCCCCAGTGATGGTTTGCGAGCTCGTCCCCCCTTCCCCCCTCTCATCGGATGCTGGACCCTGGGGGACGATGAATGGGGGATGGGGACAGCCAAATGTTTCGCGCGCCTTGTTACCCCCAGCAAGCGGGGGTCGGCGGATTCTTGGGTCTGGTCCTGGGCTCATTCTGGCTTCTTTCAGCTCGATGGTCCCTTGGTTCGGATTCGTAGCCCTCAACAATCGTTCCTGCGAAGATCAGAGGAAGAAGAGGTACCCATACGGCTACCGTTAACTAGCTTCCTCCTGTTTGGGCCTTCTGGAAGCCCTCGTCGCCGCCGCTGGATTCGCTTCGAAATCTCGGTGAGCACGCGCCCGGGAGAGGTCGGGGTAGTATATTACCTCTTATACATGGAAGACAAATCCCACGGAGTCTTGTCCAAGGGGGTTGTCCGGGCGGGACCCCCGCTGGGTTGTCCACGGTGTTGCTTGGGGCAGGCCGTCCTGTCGCCACTGCCCAGCATTGGTTGTCCGGCGGAGGGGGTCCAGGGATCTTGCTCGGTTGGATTGTTCTTCCATGTGTAGCGGTGCCGGTACCTTTTGGTTTCCCCAGAAGGTTCCCCAGGCGTTGCCTCATCGTTCGCGACAGGCGGCTTGGAACTTGCGCGAGGCTTCCGGCGCTCTGCGGCCAGGGCTTGCGGCCGCGCCGCGCCCGCGCCGCGCGCCCGCCATCCTTGCAGGCGGGCGGCTAACTAGGCGCCCCCCCCCCCATCCCTCCTCCTCCTCCCTCTCTCCTCCCCTCCTCCTCCTCCTCCTCCTGCTCCTCCTCCTCCTCCTCCCTCCTCTGCTCCTCCTCCTCTCCTCCTCTGCTCCTCCTCCTCCTCCTTCCTCCTCCTCCTCCTCCTCCTCCCTCCTCCTCCTCTCCTCCCCTCCTCCCGCCTCCTCCTCCTCCTCCTCCTCCCCCTCCTCCCCCCCTCCTTCCCCTCCTCCTCCTCACCTCCTCCTCCTCCTCTCCTCCTCTCCTTCCTCCTCCTTCTCTTCCTCCTCCTCCCTCCCCTCCTCTGCTCCTGCTCCAGCTGCTCCTCCTCCCCTCCTGCTCCTGCTGCTCTCCTCCTCTCCTCCTCCTCCTCCTCCTCCTCCTCCTCCTCCTCCTCCTCCTCCTCTCCTTCCTCCTCTCCTCCTCCTCCTCTCCTCCTCCTCCTCCTCCTCCTCCTCCTCCTCCTCTCCTCCTCTCTTCCCTCTTCCCTCCTGTTCCTGCTCCTGCTCCTCCTCCTCCTCCTCCTCCTCCTCCTCCTCCTCCTCCTCCATCTCCCTCCCTCCTCCCGCCTCCTTGGGTGCAACTCCTAGGAGGTCAGATTCTGCATCGGCGCTGGTATTGTGGCGTTCTGTAAGCTGGGCTGATCTGGCTCAGTCCGGCTTGGGTCCCGTTTAATCCCTGTATGATCCAGTTTGACTCGATCGGGTTGAATATTTCTTAGTCGTTCCAGCGAAGACCTCCCCGGGGTTGCCTCCAAACCTCGTCGTCTGGAGGTGGCAGACTTGTAATGCTTCGGGCTGCGCGCGACACTCCCCCGCAGCCCTTGCTGACCTCCACAGGCCTCTCGAGCAGTCCCAGCTGGCTTCAACATTCCCCCCAAGCAGTTTGGGGTGGTCTCCGCTCTTCAAACTTGTGGCGCGGAGCGCCCCAGGGGCGGTGCTGGCGGCGACGCCGGGGTGTTGAGACCGCCCCATGTCACCAGGGTGCCCTATGAATTTGAGGCCAGCCAGGACTGCCTGGGGGGCTGTCCGTGCGCGCAGCCCGAAGCGTTAGCTTGGCTAGGAAGCAGCCCTTGGGAGGTGGAGTGAACGGCATAGTTATCCCTGAGCGACCACTGGCCGAATCTGGCTCAATCCCGCTGGGCCTGGCTAGCTCCTGCTGAATCCGGTTTCATCCCTAATCCCGCTTGATCCCCGAGCTTCATCTGGCCGATTCCGGCCCCATGGCCCCGCAGTCGGGCTTGATAGCCTTTTCACCGTGCTGGCGAAGACCTCCCAGGAATTGCCTCCTACAGCCGGGGCCCTGAAGAAGGAACCCTTTTCGTTGGGGAGGGGCTCGGTGTTCCTTGATTGTTTCACAACTTGCCTTAGATTTTCCTTATGCTTTCGATGGGAAATCGAAGTTCAACTTGTGGAAAAAAGGGGCCTCGTTCCTTCTTTAGGGTTCCTTAGGTCAACGCCCCGACTGTATAAGGGAGGGCCTTCCGTCTCCCTCGCCCGCCCGCGGGCGATGCCATGTTCGACGGCGTCGTCCCGCCGGCCGCAGCCTCTGCTGACGCCGGCGCGGGCTCTGCGGCGCCAGGCGCGGGCCGGGCGCTTTGGCCGCCCACGCTGCGCTGCCTCTCCGCCCTCGCCCTCCCCGCCCTCGCCCTCGCCCTCCTTGGTGTTCGGGCGTCTTCGCGGGCTGACATTTCAGGTCTTTGGGTTTTTGCGGGCTCTCAGCGGCTGTCCAGTCTCGGGACGCGCCTTGGCAGCTGCGCCTCGCCGAGGGCGCTTTTTGGGGGTCCCTGGATCGCCCAACGAGCACCGACGGCGCCCGAAAGGGGACGGGCCATCTCAGAAGCCGGCTCGCAAGAGGAGGAAAGGCTGTCTACCGTATGATATTGATTCCGCCGCTCGTCCTGGAGAGCCGTCGCCGAAATTCTACTCAGAATGCGCCCTGGGAGAGGCCCAGGGAGTCATTCTCAAGCAGTGTCGAAGCGTCGTCCCAGCTCGCCCATGGGCCTACTAGATACTGTTCTCAGAACCCTCTCTTGTCTGCACGAAATGTTTTTGGAACATCTCTGGCCGAGGCTGTCTTGCTTCAGCACATGTTTTTTATACCATTGTTTTTGTGATTCGAACACTGCTGGGTTCGAAGAACATGTCGTGGTAGGCCTACAGTCGGGGCCCTGAACAAGGAACCTTTTTCGTTTGGGAGGGGCTCCGTGCTCCTTGAGTGCTTCACAGTTAGCCTTGGGTTTTCCTATGGTTTTCGATGGGAAATCGAAGTTCCACTTGTGGATGGCAGGGGCCTCGTTCCTCATTTTGGGGCTCCTTGGGTCAACGCCCCGACTGCACTGGACTGCCAGGACGGTCGGCCCCTGCTCAAAAGGTGCGCCATCGGTATCTCATGCCCCCTCCCACGGGGCTCCCAGATGCCGTCTGGCCCCGGGGCGCTGCTCTCCAGCGGCCGCGCCCCCGTCCGAGGGCGTCCATCTGGGGTGCCCGGATCGTCCCGAGCGGCTCGGGGGCGGCAAAGAGGGGGGTGGTGACTAGGGGGGGGTGGATATCATGGCGGGGGCCATGATATTTCCCCAGATTTCATGGCGCCTCTTCTCATTTCATTACGTCCCTGGCCCCCCCGCTGGGCCGCGCACATGCCGCCGGTCATGATTTGCACCCCCCCTCTTGGACGCCCCCCTCTTGGCCGCTCCCGAGCGGCAGCTGGTGGAACGAGCTGTGGCCAGGAAGCTCCTCGCCCTCGTCGTCGCCCTCCATACTTCCCTGACGTGCTTCGAGCTGGGTGCGATTAGTATGCGAAGCCCCGCCGTCGTGAATACCTCAACACGGTGACGGCGGGCCTGTGGCCGAAGCAGCTTCGCAAGGCTGAGCAGCGTCACCGCAGTCTTTCGTGTGTGTGTGTGTGTGTGTGTGTCTCTCAACGCCCTCGTCGGATAGCTCGATACCCGATATTACTTACTACCTTGACATGTTCCACCACCCTGATGCATCTGCTACAAAACATTCACTCACAGACGCCCTCCAGTGGATTTTTCTCAGGCTTCATGGGGAGGGTGCCGGTTTGTATATCACCATACGGGCCATCGATGTTGTGTACCGCCCCCCCCCTTGAAGGCACTAGTGAGACTCGTCGGCGAGCGTTAGTGTATACAATTGCGTGGCGTAGAGCCGATCCCCGTCCTTGAGAGTCGTGTCGCCTTGTTCCAGCGCCGATCTTGGGGATTCCTTGCAGTTTCTGAGTGCGCACCTTTGCTGCAAGGTATTGTCAGCGCATCGGGCTTCTTGTTCGGCCGCCCCCCGTCCAGGGCCACTGCCTCCTCGTCTTCATCGCCGGCCTTCTTCCCTGAAGCTCTCGCGTCGTGGGGAGAAAAAGTCGGGGGACCCCAGACGGTGCGGCTACCCCACGGCGTGGTGAGCCAGTGGGGATTCGGGGTAACCGCGATGTTTGGGGAGTCGGGATTCGGAGGACGAGGATGTCTCCTCCTCCGCCTCCTCCTCCTCAGCCTCCTCCTCCTCCTCCTCCTGTTCCTCCTCCTCCTCCTCCTCCTCCTCCTCCTCCTCCTCCTCCTCCTCCTCCCCCTTTTCGGGTCGTTATCCGAGGATGTCTCGGACGATTGAGGCCTCCAGAGTCCCAAGACCGTGTGGTGACTGACCGCGCTGTGAGGCTTTAGTGGATGCCGAGCTCACGGGGACCCTGAAGTCGGCCTTCTTCCCTGACGTCCTCGCGTCTTGAGACAGATCGGGTGTAGTAAAATGACCGTGCAATTCGGGGCCTCCCAGATGGTGTCCGAGTAGACGTGGTCGGGGGATCGCCGCGCCGCATCGCCGATGCATCGCCGATGCGGCTCGACGTAGAGCCTCATTTCCTCCACGCCGACGTCACCGATGCATCGCCGACGTCGCGGATGCATCGGCGATGCGGCGCGATCTTCCGACCCCACCTGCTCCGATTCCATCTGGGAAGCCTCCAGAGATAGATCGGGGGCAGCTCTCGGCCTCTGGTGCCCCCGCCGGGCCCCGGGACCGTCAACAAACGGCTCAGGATGACAGACCGGTCCCCGGGAAGGGTTCCAGGTTTTTGGGAGACCACGTTTCGGGAGCGGAGAAGAGGGGGGTGATGACCAGGGGGGGTGGATATCATGGCGCGGGCCATGATTTTTCCTCAGATTTCACGGCGCCTCTTCTTGTTTTATTACGTTCCTGGCCCCCCCGCTGGGCCGCGCACATGCCGCCGGTCATGATTTGCACCCCCCCCTCTTGGACACCCCCCTCTTTGCCGCTCCCGAACGTTGCGGAGTAAAATCTCGACGTCGGGTGTCTGCGGGCAGGTAGACACGCCACCACCACCACCACTACAAGCGGGCCACTTCTGGAGCTGAGGTCCACGGTGCCTCTGCTTTCCTGTCGTCAAAGCCTCGGCATCGTTCGGGCGCGTGCACCTTTTCTCGGCGAGGCCATCGAGGAGCATCCTGGATCACCGTGCGAGAAATAAACACACGAGAGCGAAACATTCATGGGGAGTGGAAGTCCGAGCGATGGCAAGCGGCGGATTCTTTGGGTCGGAGCTGGCCCCCCTGGCACGCTTCGCGCGAAACGACGGGGTGGTCCGACGCTGACCCAAGAAACCCCCGCGGATCTCCTGAAGGCCACGCTCCTTCCGTGCTCAGTTCTTACGCCGTGTCCTCGTGCTGGTAATTCCCCCCCTCTCCCAGCCCGCTCTGTGCCTCGTCCTCCCTGTCTTCGCCCCTCCCTCCACAACTGGACATTCCGAGTGCCAGAGGAGGACAAGCTACCCATACCTCCAGCCTCGCCTCGTTGTTCCCCTTTTGGGGCTCCTGGGCCTCCCTCGTCGCCACCGCTGGATTCGCCTCGAAATCCTGGTCAGAACGCACCCCGGGAGAGGTCCAGGGAGTAGTGGTATCGGTACCTTGTGGTCTCTATAGAATACTGGTCTTCTCTCTTTCCTGTTTCTCTTTCTGGAAGATGGCTGGTGTCCTCCGCGGATTGTTTCGTTTGCACAGGATGTCAACAGTTGTTTCGGATCGGCGCTTTGCTCCCGTCGTTCCAGAATGGCGATCTCGCCCCAGAGCCATGGGAAGGGATGGGAGGGAGGGGTAGTATTATATCAGATCTGCCGCGAGCGCACGTAGCTTGCCTCCTCCGGGTTCCTCTCACCCTTCCTCTCCTGGCTCGCAAAGCCCAGCTGGTTCGCAAAGCGCAGCGGGGTCGGAGCACGACCAGGCAGCATATTCGACCCTTTGGCGTTCTGGCGGCGCGAATCGGCGAGGTACAGCCGAGATGTTGAAATAAGGATCATTCTGGGCTCAGCTGGGGAACCAAACTGGGCCGTTCCTAAGATCTAGGTCTGGGAACCTCATCGCGGCCGAGGCTCGCCAGAAAAGCTCTCTTGGTTCTTATTCAGCGTAGCTTGGGGTAGCGTTCTGGCTGTAGGTCACCCGCGGGGCTGCGAGCATCGTCGCGCAAAAGTGTCCCTTCGCGGGGGCTGCAGGTTCCCCAGGGCCGGGGGGCACTTTGAGCGCGAGGCTGCCCTGGCTCGAGATGCCAGGAGCAGAGTGGGCCGAGCATCCAGCCTGCAAGCGCAGACCATTGGGCGGTGATGGCCAGCACAACGAGGCGGGCACCAGCTGCAGGGGAGAGGAGGTCGGAGGGGGATTGCCCGCGCTCCGAAGCCCTGAGCCGCGACGAAAGGAACTCCGACGGATCCCGAGCGCCGAAGGTTGTCATGATGCTCGCCGGGATCGTTGCGGCGCTGGTTTCCGTGGTGTGGTATTCTTGCGCGCGGCGCGAGGACGTCCCGACGGCTGCGTTATGCTTGGAGGCTTGGCGGCGCGGTTGCAGCGGCGACTTGACATGTTGCGAGGGTCTCGACTGCGCCGGGCTCGGTCACAACACGCAGTGCGTTCCCAGGTCTAAGGACCACAGGGACTTTAAAGAAGGTTGTGTCCAGGCCGAGCACGGCTTCTGCACCGCGCGCGACCAGTGTTGCGAGGGTCTTTATTGTTTTCTCAACAAGTGTCACCTGAGGAGGACCAGGAAGGAGGAGGGTTGCATCCAGGCCCTGCGCCACGGCTGCGATGCCAACTCGAGCTGCTGCGAGGGTCTCTTCTGCGACATCCGGTGGCGGCAGTGCATTCCTAACGCAACGGATGACCAGAAAGAAGGTTGCATTCAGGCTTGGCGCCACGGCTGCAATGACGACTCGAAGTGTTGCGAGGCGCCCCGTGTCCACTGCCGGACGGACCTGTCGTGGTGCGTGTCTGGGAGTGCGGAGGACCAGCCAGGAGGCTGCGTCAAAGAGCATGAGGGCGGGTGCGCAGACTCCAGCGACTGCTGCGAGGAGTACCTGACCTGCAGCAACGAGTACGAGGGGACAGTGTGTAAGTTCGACTGACGCTCAGACGCGCGTTATGCGGGCAATAGTTTTATCCACATCCAGAGCGTCTTGGATTCTTGGGCTCTCTTCCCCAGAAACCGTAGACGCACTGGATATGGATAAGAATCTGGCCCCAAGAGGCTTGATTTTATCCATATCCAGTGCGCCTCGGCGTTGCGGCACCTCTTCCCAAAAAGTCCACGACGCTCTGGATATGGATATAAGTATTGCCCGCACGTTGGGGCGAGAGAAGGCGGCACCGCCACGTCTGCCACCGCGCGACGTCGGCCGCAGCAGAGCCGCCGTCACCGTGGAGTCTGGCACGTCAGATGCGACGTGCATTCGCCTGCTCCTGCTCCTCATCATCATCCTCCTCCTCCACATGCCCCTCTTCCTCTTCTGTTTTCCTCCTCCATTACCCTCCTCCTCCTCCTCCTCCTCCTCCTCCTCCTCCTCCTCCTCCTCCTCCTTCTCCTTCTCTCTCCTCTCCTCCTCCTCCTCCTCCTCCTCCTCCTCCTCCTCCTCCTCCTCCTCCTCCTCCTCCCCCCCCCCATGCCCCTCTTCTCTCTATTATCCTCCTGCATTGTCCTCCTCCTCTCCTCCTCATCCCCCCCTCCTTCTCCTCATCTCATCCTCCTCCTTTCCATTCCCCTCCTCCGCCTTCACTATCCTCCTCGCCCTCCTCCACTATCCTCCTCCCCCTCCTCCACTATCATCCTCGCCCTCCTCCACTATCCTCCTCGCCCTCCTCCACTATCCTCCACTATCCTCCTCCTCCTCCTCCTCCTCCTCCTCCCCCTCCTCCTCCCCCTCCTCCTCCTCCTCGGAGGCGGGGGCGCGGCGTGCCTGCCTCCCCCGACAGCCTGCTGTGCGAGGGGCCCCTCGGTGGAGGCGCCTCGGCTCCTCCGCCGCGGGGCCCCTCTCGAGGTCGGGGCGGCGCGGGGGCCTCCCCCCCGCGCCGCGGGGCGGGGCCCTGGGCGGGCCGCGCGCGGCCCCGCCTCCCCGGTGGGCCCTCGTCGCGCGAGCGTCCTCGCTCTCTCTCGCGCGCGCTCTCTCTCTCTCTCTCTCTCTCTCTCTCTCTCGGTGCCTCGACTCCCCGCCCCCTTTTTCCCTCCCTCGCTCCCTCCCTCCTCCCTCCCTCGCTCCCTCCCTCCCTCCTCCTCCCTCCCTCCCTCCCTCCTCCTCTCCTCCTCCTCCTGCTCCTCCTCTTTCTCCTCCTCCTCTTCCTCCTCCTCCTCCGCCTCCTCTTCCTCCTCTCTGTCCTTGCCACCGCGCCCACCTGGCAACGTGCGACCTGCTCTTTTTTTGTGCCTCGCTTCCCGCCTTTGGAGTGGAGCCGCTTCGGCACGGGATCGCGCCGACAGTTCCAGCCGACGCATCACGGTAGGCGCGCGAGCGTTAGTTTCAGCCTATTATGTACATTTCTTTGCAGCGGGCGCGCGCATGTTTTTGTGTACACGTGTGCGTTCGCCATATATGCGCGGTGGAAGATTGCCCACGCGGGTCGCCTCAGACATTTCGCGAGTGTTTCTTGGAGCCTTGTCGGGGGTAAGGTGGGAGAGGGAGGAGGAGGAACAGAGAAGGGGGTGGATGCGGAGGTGCAGAGGGAAAGGGAGATTGAGGCGGAGGAGGCGGAGGAGGAGGAGGAGGAGGAGGTTGTGTTGGGAGTTTCTTTCCTCTTTCTTCCCCTCCCTCCATCCCTCCTGCCCTCCTTCCCTCCTGCTCCTGTTCCTCTTCTTCCTCATCCTCCTCCCCCTCTTTCCTCCCTCCCGCGTCTGATGCATGAGGCACGGACTGCGCGAGGGATACAACGAAACATGTATGATGTCTGCAGTTCGAGGGCTTCCAAAAGTCGGAGATGCACGAAGTGCGCGAGGGTCATACACAATGGAGGCCCCTATACCATCCTAAGAACGGTTGTTGGCATCAGCTCAGACGGGCCAGACGTTGACGGGTCCCCAGTCTGTTGATGCCTCTGGGGTGTTCGGTGGACCCCGTGGGCCCGGATTCGAATTGCATTGCCTTGGAGGCCACATCGGCACACCGAGCCAACAACCATTCACGCCGCCAGGCCTCGACCCTCCCGCGCCCACCCTTCCGAGGGAAACAGAGGCTCGAAGGGGAAACAACAAAACGCCGCAGCCCCCCCAACCCCTCGTTTCCCTCCCCCCCCCCCCCGAGGGGGAACAACAAAAACCTGACGGGGGAACGAAAAACGCTTCGAACGGGGGGGGGGGGAGTAAGCCCAGGGGGGGCGAGGAGGAGCGGGGTGGGAGATGGCCAGGAGTAGGAGGAGGAGGAGGAGGAGGAGGAGGACCAGGATGAGGAGAAGCAGGAGGAAGAGGAGCAGAAGGAGGAGGAGGAGGAGCAGGAGGGGGGAGAGGAGAAGACGGAAGTCGCCACTTCTTTTCCAACAAAGGGGATTGAGGCGACCACGGCGGGTCTGGCAGCCTGACCTTCCGTCGGAGGGCGACGGGCGTTGCCCGTCATTGGACGGGGGCGGCGGCTGCCGCACTGGCCCAAGAGCATGCGGCTTCTGATGCTGGCGCTCGGCATCCGCAGATTCCTCCTGAGCGGGCGCAGTGAGTTTGCTCCGAAAGCGAGCCCACCTGCAGCCGCACCAGGGGGAGGAGCACGAGCGCGATGATGAATCCATCCTACAGGAGGTCGCCCAGAGACCGCCTCCCGCTACCCCCTGTACGACAGCGAGCACGTGAACTCTAAGCAACACTAGGAGGCAGTGGTGCACATTCCGCGTCCGTGCACCTGCAGCTCCCGGCCTTCAACCACGTTTTCATTGGCATGGACGACGACGGATACCTCCCACCTTTCTAGCGGATACCCCTGTGCGAACAACTGGGCGCAGGCGCACTGCGCCCATCGACGACACCGCGGCACTAGTTGAGGAGGAGGAGCGTGACAAGAGAACGGCGTTTGGACAGAGAGAGAGAGAGAGATGTACTAGCGATTGAGAGGGTGGCGCCCTCGCATCGTGATGAGGTGTCGCCGGCGCGCGGCACATGGACCAAACATCCTGGCGGGCCTTTCGAACATCGACGAGTTCCTGAGCCGCCTCGCCTGCCCTGCACAAGCCGCGGCCGCTGGGCTCGAAGGGTCTGGGCGTTCCCTCGGCGCCCCGTTCCGCGCCTGCGGCGCTCGACGAAGGTTTTTCCGCGGCCGCCAGGCCCCCAGATTCCCGGTGTTCCTTGGGCACTGCGCTTCGCATTCTGGGGTTGGTTCGCTCGAAGCAGTCAGTAAAGAATTGTGTTCGTTTCGGGTCTCCAACAGCCAGGATGTTGCCTTCAGCGTTGCGCCTCCGGTGGGCCTTTGGCAGGCTGTGCTTACTGGGCCGCCCGAGTGGCATCGCTGGCGTGACCGGCGCAGCACATCTCACAAGGCGCGAGCTCCATGCTGGTCCGCGCACCCGACGGGGAGCGCGCTGGCGCCAAGCATGTTTTGACAGGCTGGATCTTCATGGCAGCACGATGGCTGTATAGAAACTGTCTGCCCAGAGGAGGAGGAGGAGTGGAATAGAATCGTCCGCATAGCGGTGTGACACGAAACGGCGCGATCTTCGAGGGCTTAGTGAATAAGCTCGATTTGTCGAAAATTTCTCTTTGGGCCATTGCCCACCCCTGATTTTGGCAAGACATTTTCTGCGGGTGGCCGTCAACGGCAGCGAGCAAGGGACAGCCACCGGCTTGCGGAGCTGCTCGTTGCCGAAGGACCAGCCCCGCTCGAGCTGCCGCGGCGCCACCTTCTTCGGACTCCTCAGCGCCCAGGCTGCTGTGGTGAAGTCACTTGTCTTCCTTCAGAGTCGTTATCATTATTCTTCTTTTCCTTCCTGCCGTCTGCATCTCGGACTCGGGCGGGGTTTGACGCCGACCTTGGACGCGAGCGCTTGCGTCGCGATCCTCTTGGACTCGATGGCGGCTGCCAACGCCACCGCGCGTTGGTCTTCTCGCTCTTGCGCTCGCGCGAGGTTCTCCCGACACCACTGGAGCGTGGGGAAAGCCTGGTCGTGCTTCGCCCGAGCGTTTATGACCGTAACAGCTCCCTCGCGAATCGATTTCTCTGGAATCGTGGCCTGCTCTTGGGCCGCATGCATCTTGAGGATGCCAACTTGGGCCAGCATCGCAGTCTTGATCACGGAATCGCTGGTGAAGGCGATGGCCGCGTCAACCGTTGGGGTCCCAGAACTCGCAGCTTGAGTGCAACTACTGCCTCTGCTGCCGCTGCGCTTACCCCCCCGCGCGCACCAACAAACGGTTAGCATCAGCCCCTGCTGCATGCTTGCCCGTCTGCTCCGTGTCTCCACCTTTGCCTGGGCAGAGCTTGACTAACCGTCCGCACTCTGGCATTTGCGGCCGCGCTCGATCAGGACTGTGTTCCATGCACTTCTCCCGCACCCTCGGCATGATGACCGATCTCGACACGACGCAGAGGAACCCATCGCTGTCGCAAAATGCGATCTGACGCACTCATCCTTGCCACCGGGAAGGGCGCGAGGGAACGTGTTGCCCCGGTGCCCCCCAAACGCCGCGAAAAGGCGGGGTGCCTGACCCAAGAAAGGAAGCCGCCCGGGGCAGAATTGCTCGAACAGAGGAGGAGGAGGAGGAGGAGGAGGAGGAGGAAGAAAAAGAGGAGGAGGACAAGGAAAAGGAAAAGGAAAAGGAGGAGGAGGATGAAGAGCAAGATGAGGAGGAGGAGGAGGAGGAGGAGGAGGAGGAGGAGGAGGAGGAGAAGGAGGAGGAGGAGGACGGGAGGAGGACGGGAGGAGGACGGGAGGCGGTGGAGGAGGAAGAGGAGGATGAGGAGGAGGAGGAGGAGGAGGAGGGTGGTCAGGATGAAGAGGGTGAGGGAGGGTGAGGAGGATGACGAAGTGGTGAGGAGGAGGAGGAGGAGGCGGAGGAGGAGGAGGAGGAGGAGGAGGACGAGGAGGAAGATGAGGAGGACGAGCACGAGGACGAGGAGGAGCAGGCGCAGCAGCACCGGGCCGCCTCGGGGTCGGCCCACGCGGGCCGGCGGCCCTCCCCCTTCGGGCCAGGCGAGCTGCCGGGGCGCCCCGCTGGCTCTCCGCCCGCCCTCGCGTCGGAGGGGGCGCTGGCTGGCAGGCGGCCCGTCGGCCTCGTAGCCCGCGGTCGTCGTCCGTCGTCGTCGTCGTCGTCGGTCGTCGTCGTCGTCGTCGTCGTCGTCGTCGTCGTCGTCGTCGTCGTCGTCGTCGTCGTCGTCGTCGTCGTCGTCGTCCGTCGTCGTCGTCGTCGTCGTCGTCGTCATCGTCATCGTTCTCGTCGACATCCTCGTTCTTTTCCTCGTCCTCGTCCTCGTTCCCGTCGCCGTCGTCGTCGTCATCCGCCCGTTTGTCGCCTGTTTGTCGTCCGTCCGCCGTCGTCTCCCATCCGTCGTCCGTCCATCATCGTTCACCATGGGGGGATCGGGCCCTTGCCCTCCCCGTCTCCTCACATGGCGAGCTCCAGAGAAGGGCTTGCCTTCGAGAGTCGCAGGGGTCGGCGCCTCTGCCTCAGCGGACAGCGGCGGACCGCCCCCGCAGGCGGGGGCCGGCGGAAGGCCGGCGGGATCCGGCGCAAGTAGAGATTGCTTTCCTGAGAGATGGAGGTCGCCTGGGGGGCAAAGGGGCCCTGGGGGCAACGGGTCCCGAGGTTCTTCGCCGTTCTTGGCCTCCCCGGGCCCCCCAGGGGCCCAAGGATTGTCAAAAGACAACGCAGGGGGAAGAGGTGGTCCTGGGGGAAGGCCCCGGGGTCTAGGGCCCGTTTCCCTGATGACGCGCGCTCCCCATTTTAGATCGTCGTCCATGCGTCCGTCCGTTCGTCGGTCGTCGTCGTCCCTTTGTCGTCGTTGTCCGTCCTTCATCGTACGTAGTCGTTGTCCGCCCGTCGGTGCTGGTGGTGGCTGTCGTCCGTCCTTCGTAGTCGTCCGTCTGCAGATGGAAGATATCCGTCGCAGCGCATACCATCGACGCGTGCGCACCAATAGCGGAGGAACAAAGAAGCGGCCAAACGAATAACGAAGATCGATGGCAGCCCGAGAGTCTGCAGGCGTGCGCCGAGGCCGCGCACCGGCGGGCGTTCCCGGGCTGCTCTCTGGCCTTCATCGGGCCGTCTTGGGTTTTTGCCGGGCCGCTCCTGGGGCCATCCTGAGGCTGCAGAGGCCCCTCGGAGTGGTGAAGAGCATGACGGGTGCACGCGCGTGCGTGAGTGATGTTGGCCTCTCGGGAGTCTCTCTCCGTCGGTTGTCCGTTCGTCGGAGTCGTCCGTCCGTCCATCGTCGTCGTCGTCTTCGTCGTTGGCCCCCCTTTCGTTGACCCTGTCCTGCCTGCGATCCTGGGCTGGAGCCCGTGGGGCACAGATCATCGAGAACAGAGGAGCCCCTGATCCCAACACCACGACGCAGACGTGGCCTCACTCAGGCCCCCGCCTCCGCCTTTGGGAGGATCCGTTCGGGCAGCTCTGCCCGATGCACCTGTAGCAAAGACCTCTAGGCTCTAGGGGGCCAACTGCGAACCCTGCCTCTACCCCCCACGATTTCCGAGGGGCAGGGTGGGGTTCATTTCATTCGGGAGCTCCCGAACGAAGTGAACCCCACCCTCTTCCTCGGAAATCGTGGGGGGTAGGAGTAGGGCTCGCATGTGGCCCCCGCCCCCGCTTTTGGGATGATCCCTTCGGGCAGCTCTGCCCGATGCACCTGCAGCAAAGACCTCCTCGCCCCTCCTGCTTCTGCAGGCCCTCAGGAGGGACAAAAACACACAGACACAATTAATCGTCGATTCCCCAGAAAATATAGAAAAATATGGGAATTGGGCGGGAAGAGAAGAACCCAGGAAATATGGGAAAATATGGGGAACCATGTTATTTGTGTGCATTTATTTGTGTGCCCCAGGGCCCCTTCAAGGCCCTCCTGGCGCAGGGCCGCTCCCAAAGGATCTCGCGGGGCACGCTGCTGGCCTTTTATGCCGCAGGGCGAGCCCGAGCGGAGGGCCCGCCCTGCCCGGCGCAGCGCGCAGGGCCCGCCCGACCTCCGTGGCCCACCCCTGCGGCGCGGGGCGCAGCACGCCGGCCGGTGCGCAGGGCAGCTCCTCGGAGGAGAGGCAGACGGCACAAGCATGCACATAAACGTAACGGAGGAGGAGGAGGAGGAGGAGGAGGAAATGAGGAGGAGGAGGAGGAGGAAATGAGGAGGAGGAAATGAGGAGGAGGAGGAAATGAGGAGGAGGAGGAGGAAATGAGGAGGAGGAGGAGGAGGAGGAGGAGGAGGAGGAGGAGGAGGAGGGGTACTTGTCGAGGTGCTTCTCGAGGAATAGCAGTCCTCGAAGAAGAAACATCGGCGGAGCTCTTGGATCTGCGCTGGGCCCCCACCTGGCGGCGCCTATGGCGCCCCCCCCGGCGCGCTCCACGCGCCAGGGACGGGGGTCCAGCGCAGATCCAAGAAGTCATCGCGGAAAGCCAGAAGCTTATGGTTATGCTGTCCTTTTTCTTTTAGAGGAGTGCCCTTCTTGCTTCCCAGGCGCCCTCGGGTCATGAAATAATCACGACGGGAAGCTGTTCGCTATTTTCAGCCCTTCGGAGGCCCCTGCCAGCCTCGGGACCGCCAAAAATCGATTCAGCCTGGAAAGCCCCTTATGGAACACCCTCGGGTCACGACAGACTCGCGACGGGATGTTGTTCCCGATGTTTGGCCTCTGGGGGGCCGGCCCTGCAGGGCCTCGGGACCGCCAAACAACGTCTCAAGATGAGAAGCCGGTCGTGGAGAATGGGTCGAGACCCCTCGGGGCCGACGTCACGGAACAACATGACGTCGGGGGTCTGTGTTCGGCGCTCACTGCATCGGCGCCTAACTGCTGCACGTGCCAGCTTCGGCGAGCGGGTGGACTCCACCACCTGAGCGGCGCCGTGCGGCCCGCGCGCGCTAGGCGGGGCCTCCTCCTCCTCCTCCTCCTCCTCCTCCTCCTCCTCCTCCTCCTCCTCCTCCTCCTCCTCCTCCTCCTCCTCCTCCTCCTCCTCCTCCTCCCCGTCGGGGGCTCCGCCCGCGGGGGGCGGAGCCCGCGACGGGGAGGTCGTGCTGCCGCAGTGGGATTCTGCGCGCGCCCGGCCCCGAGAGGCTGAGCATCGTGCCCTCCGTCTGCGGAGGTGTCGAGGGCGTTTCTCGCCGGCGCACGCCCACTGCCGGGGCCGCGTCGTCGAGGTGACTGACAACGGCAAGTCTCCGCGGATTCTGAGCGCAGCGTCAACCGCAGGTCTCGTCATGGCCGCCGCCGGAGTCGCGGCGGCTGCCCTCTGAACGCGTGGGTGGGGCATCCACAACAGCGATGAAATCATCGCGTGCGAGACTTCGCTGCAAGGCGGCAGCGGCGCGCTGATGTTATGCACTCTGCGGCGCGCGGTTTGAGAGGCCTCTCGGCTGTTGCCTCGCGCGGGGTCTTTGCGGCATAGTGACAATCCATGGTAAGGATGGGTAAACTTCACAATGGCACCGTTGCGTCTTTAGATTTGTTCGGCTGTGCGCCGCTAGAAAAACTTCAGTTCAGGCGTCCAAGGACCGTCCAATGGTCTTGCTTGCGTCCTTAGAGCGCGTCCTTAAAACAGATGTTGACTGCAGTGGATATCGGTCAGTGGCGATACCATCTCCGCGTTCTGGGCGTCGTCCGTACTTGCAGTGTGGCGCCGCTTTGATGACGGCGGGCATGCCGCGGATCTGGTTCCCGTTAGGCGGTCCTTCGTATACCGGCCGCTGGGCTAGCAGGCCGCGTTCGTACGTTCCTCCCGCCACGTGTCCCTCATCTCCGACCTGCTCTTCTGCCGCTGGCACGGTTCGTCTGGGCCCTTGTCTATATACATACATCTATATACATACATACATACATGCATGCATGCATGCATGCATGCATGCATGCATGCATGCATGCATGCATACATATCCTCTTCTTGTTTCTGGTTCTTCGCATTTTTTGTTTTGCCGTTCCTGCTCCTTCTTCCCCCATTCCTCAGGAGGCTGCCTGACTGCCTGGCTTGCGGCAGGTTCGTGTCGTGCCGACGCGGCGCCGACCCCAGTCTGGCTCGCCGATAGCCCTAGCAAATCATGTTCTAAGAACCTGTCGTGGTTTGCACGACATGTTTTTCGAACATTTCTGATTGAGACTGTCTTGGTTTAGCACATCGGGTTGATGTTCTAAGCACATTGTTTTGTTGTTAGAGCATTTCTGGGTTCTAAGAGCATTTCGTGGTAGGACTATAGGATTGCCGGGACGGTCGGTCCCTGTTCAAAACACAGTTCAAGGTTGATCGATCCACACAGTGTCAGAGTTCAGCGCGCAAGCCGGCACGGCAAGAACGTGCCGCAGTAGCCTTGGTCGCGTGAGCATGCTGGTTGCAGCCGGTCACGAGCAAGGGCCAGTGCCGTGCCCTGGCTTCGGTGTCGGGGCCGCGGGGGGCCCACATATCGTTTGCAACCAGGCGCGTCCATAGGCCGCTGGGACGGACAGGAACACGACGTGACCCGACGAGAGTCAGGTTGCCATGTCATGCGAAGTCCGATTGACCCCTTCAGGTGTCCAGGCCGCCTTGCCGGGTCAGGGACACCGGGGGGGGTCGCGACGAGTGTTGTTTTACGGTCGTGCCGGGTCTGGCGGCCTTCCTGGCTAACCCGGACGAGGCCTTTTGCAGGGTTGCTCCTGTTGGATGTTCCACGAGCCCCTTTTGCTCGGTACCCTGGCCGTTTCTGTTTCTGGCTGTGTCCCGTGAAGTGGCTACCGTGCGCCGGCGATTGTGGCCTTGGGTGGTTTGTCAGGCTGTTGGCGCAAGCTTGACCAATTCCCCCAGTGGCGCCGTGTGCGTTTGTGCGGTGCTGGTGGTTTCCTGGGTCGAAGGTGGTAGCCTGGTATCAGGTCACGGGGTCGCCTGTCATGTACGCGCGTCTTGTGCAGCTGACACCTGGGACCGCGGAATTCTTGGTCGGACAGGTGTTGTGGGAAGGGGAGTATCAGGAGGGCTCCTGACCCGCTTCGCTACAGTGCACCGCCTCCGCCTCCAGGCCGCCCAAGCGTAACGGAACGCGCTTTTGGACCGCGTGCCAGGGAGGGGGCGTTGCACCCTGTTGGATCGAATCGCAGCCCGGAGCTCTGTCTCGGAGGGGTCGGGCCTGGGGGGGTGTGTGTTTAGGATGGAGGAGGAGGACAAGGAGGAGGAGGAGGAGGAGGAGGAGGAGGAGTGGATGATGATGATGATGATGATGATGATGATGATGATGATGAGGAGGAGGAGGGGAGGAGGAGGAGGAGGAGGTGGAAGTGGAAGCAAGAGGAGGAGGAGGACGAGCAGGAGGAGGAGGAGAAGGAGGAGGTAGGAAGGAGGAAGGAGGAAGGTGGAAGGAGGAAAGAGGAGGAGGGAAGGGGCCCCCAGCAGCAGGCCTCCTCGTCGGCGCGTCGCCCCCCCCGAGGCCGTTGGAGCAGAAGGGCGGCGGCGGGCGCCCGCTCTACGAGTGCCTCGCGGAGTCGGAGGAGACCGCGCTCCGCCCGCGCGGGGGGCGGGGGCGGGAGGCGATCATGGCTGCTGCCGCGCCCTGGCGGCCTGGATGCCTAATGAGGATAATGAGGAGGAGGATAATGAGGATAATGAGGATAATGAGGATTATGAGGAGGAGGAGGAGGAGGAGGAGGAGGAGGATAATGAGGAGGAAGAGGAGGATAATGAGGAGGAGGAGGAGGAGGAGGAGGAGGATAATGAGGAGGAGGAGGAGGAGGAATAATAATAATAAGAAGAATAATAATAATAAGAAGAGGAGGAGGAGGAGGCTGAGGATTAGAAGGAGGAGGAAGAGGAAGAGGAGGAGGAGGGGGAGGAGGAGGAGGGCAAGGCTCCTATGAGTTGCTACTGGACCGCCTGCGGCAGCAGCTCGCAGGGCGGGCGTTGGCTTCCCGAGGGCCTGCCCAACTCGGAGGAGACCGCGCTCGCGGGCGGGGGGGGGAGGCGATCACGGCTGCCGCGCCCTCGCGGCCTTCATCTCCACAGGAGGCATGTCTACACCACCGCCGTGTCTGGCCGGGGCCATCCCGTACCCCGGCATGGCGTGTACGCCCAGTTTCCTTCGGGGGTCCGGAGATGGTCGGCCATGCGCAGAGGGTGGGGAGGGGGGAGGAGGCTTCTTCGAAGTACCCCTGCTTCTCAGAAGGCGCATGCCTTGTCTGCTGTTCCGCAGCCTCCTTCTAAAAAGCCTTCCCCCCTCCGTCTAGCCCCTTGTGCGCATCGCAAAGCGCCGCACTCTCGCGGCCCAGAAGGCCAGATCCCCTTGGGTTAAGTCGGGCACGTCTCTCTATAGGAGGACTTTTCAAAGAAAGTCGGGGAATAATGCGGGGACGATGTTTCGACTATTGTTGATAATTGTTGGGTTTATGTTTGAGGTATTTTTTATGTTGGGTCGATAGTCCGCCTGTAGGAGGACATGCCCGACCTAACCCTTGGTTCAGAAAGAAGCCACGATGTATGTTTGTTCGCTATTCTCGGACGAGCACGGCGACTCTCGCCCGATCCTCGAGACCTCCCTGGTCGGCCATGGGTGGCGAGCACTCGCGAAAGTGGATGGCAGTCGAGTCACGAGCGGTGAACGTACCCGTATCCGCGCCCTCGCGGTCTGGACTCGGGGGCGAGATCTTGCGGACACGCGGTCGCACGGATGTGTGTCTCCGCCTTGGAGAGGGGCGAGGAGCGAGGCGGAGTTGCGGAGCGCGACCCGGCCCGGCGCGATTCGAGTTGCTGGCTAGGGCCCGCGCCCACTGGCGTGTTGAGCAACACTGCTCCGATGCTAGGGCCCCATATTGGCCGACGCAGATACAAAAAAAGGGGTCGTCTTCACCGATGTTGGCGCGCAAGCTGCCCGCGTGAGGTCGCGCGTGAGCGCCCGCGTCTCCAGTGTGGCGTGCCGCGGTGGCGGCCCGCGTACGTCACTGCGTAAGGTCGAGTACGCCCCACGCCAAAGTCGTCGTCTTTGTGGTCGTCGTCGTCGTCCTTGTAGTCGTCGGCGTCGTCTTTGTCGTCGTCTACCTTGTCGTCTTTGTCGTCGTCTACCTTCTCGTCGTCGTCTTTGTCGTCGTCGTCGTCTTTGTCGTCGTCGTCTATGTCGTCGTCGTCGTCGTCGTCGTCGTCGTCGTCGTCGCGGTCGTCGTCGTCGTCGTCGTCGTCGTCGTCGTTGGCGTCTCGCGTGAGGCCCGTGTTAGTTTCGTGGCTCGCAAGGGAGTCCTCCAGCAGAGTCCGGGAGCGGTCCGCCTCCTCGTCGGAGGAGGCCGCGCCCGCGGGGGGCGCGGGGAGCGCAGGCGGGGCCGCGGGCGCGCGCGCGCGCGCCGAGGCGGTGCCGGGGGAGGCTTCTGGGCGCAGGAAGCGCGCCAGCACCACCACTCGGTGTCGTTCAACCGATCCCCATCCCTATCCCTGATCCCCGTCCCAGGTGGGGATGTACCCCTCTGCGTTCCCATCCCACCGCCCATCCCCATCCCCATCCCGAGCCCCACCATCATCACCGCAGTCGGGGATATGCCCCTCGAAAGCCGAAGGGAGCAGCCTATTATGTCTATATCTCACCAGGGGAGGGGGGGGGGCAAGCCAGCCAGTGGGGCCCAGGCCACGCGAGTGGGCATAGGGATCGGCGAAACGATGCTCAACCACCTTGGGGGGGGGATCCAGGATGAGCTGGTGTGCGGGACAATCGCGCGCGAAATGGCGCAGCGGGCGCCTCGGCGCTACGGGCGCGGCTTCCTGCTGCGTCACGCTCGGTCAGCGCGAGTCGGACCAGCACAAATAAGATATTCGGCGGCGAGCGGGGGGGGAAGTGAGAAGGAAAAGGCCTTCTCTGGGGGCGGCGCGACTTCTCCGAAGCCGTCGCGCCTGCGGAGAAGTGTTCTTTGTCTTCGGGGAGGGTTCTGACAATTTCTCATCAAAGGCCCGGGGAACTTCCGAACCGTCTGCGAAGGCTCGCCCCTTCTCACTTCCCCCCCGGGCGCGCCGCCTAGATACGGGTGTGCACGATGTGCCGCGACAGCGCCCGAAGTGGTATACCCACCACCACCACCACCATCACCACCACCCGTGACCACCCTTTTGCTTGCACCCTCCAGGTGGTGGTGGCGGTGCGTTGCCTTACGTCCTTCAGAGGCGCAGGCGCGGATTCAGCCGCGCGGATTGGCGGCTGGCGTCGCTTCTGTACGAAAAAAAACGCTGCGGTCTGTTTCCAAAGATGGCGGCGCGGGCCGGATGTTTCGGGGGTGCCTTTTTTTTCCGATGCGTGGGTCTGGCGCCCACGCGGCAGATCCACTGAGCGCTCATCATGTTGGCATGCGCCGGCTCGGTGCGATGCGATTCACCAGCTGGTGCCCCAGACCTTCAGCGCGATGCACAAAAAAACAAGGCCGAGGCTTTCTCGCGGTCTTCGGTTTTTGGACGCCGTCGCCAGGCCCCGGGACCGTTCGAAAAGGACTGCAGATGAAAAGCCCGTCGGGTCGAGACTCCAGGGGACCCCATCGAAACATGTCAAGGCATCGGTTCTCTGGGGCCGTGACTCCGCTTCGAGGCGGGTCGGGCCCCTTGCGTCGTCCAGGGCCAGCCTCCATTTCGATCCCTAGTCGGAACGAGCTCGCCTGGGTCGCCCCCCCGGGGGCGCGGAGAGAGTCGTGCCTCGCGCCCCGCGGCCCGGGTTGGAGGGGCGCCCTTCTCCGGGGCCGCGGCGCGAAGGCGCGCAGGGCGGCCGCGCGCCGCCTGGGGCGCGAGGGCGCGCAGCTGCGCGAGGCTGGCGTCCTCACGGGCTGCCGGAGGCGCTCTGGCCGCGGGGCGCTGGCCAGCTCCGCGGCGCCTCGCCGAGCGCGGCAGCGCGCTGCGGGCGCAGGACTTCGCGGGAGGCTGCCAGGCCGGACGGACCTGGGTCTGGACGGACGATCTCTTCTGAGGTTGTCGGGCGTCTTCGTGTTGGGGGCTCTCCGGCCTCCGGGCGCTCGCCTGCTCCGCGGCGCCTCGCCGGGTGCGCGGGCGTTGCTCAAGCAGTGGCGAAGCGTCCCTGCTCGCCTATAGCCCCACCAAACAATATCCTCCTCCTCCTCCTCCTCCTCCTCCTCCTCCCTCCTCCCTCCTTCTCCCTCCTCCTCCTCCTTCCTCCTCCTCCTCCTCCTCCTCCTCCTCCTCCTCCTCCTCCTCCTCCGTCGGAATTCGCCGAACGCGTGGCGAAATCCGATCCCTCCGCCCGTTTCCCAGCGATTCAGGAGCATCGATGGTTGGTGGGGGCGGGGTTCGGACGTCGCCGCGCAGCGACCAAAATCCGGACGGCCCGCGTTCGGCCGTCCTCGGCCTCCAGAAGTCCCTGCCGGGCCCCTGTCTGTCTTCGGATGCCCGCGGCGCCCAGAGGGTGGCTTCCGTCCGTTGCGCCTCGCCGCCGACGCCCCGGAGCGCTGCAGGCCGCGCCTCCTAGCGGCCGCCAGAGGCCCGCGCTCTGGCCCAGAGGCCACTGCCAGCAGGGCTCTGCCCCGGACGCGATCGCGTCGCAGCAAAAATCGGGACGGGAGGTCTGTGGTCGCCTTCGGCCCCCGAGAGCCCTCGCCGGGCCTCGCGAGGCCGTCCAACAAAAACGATGCAGGAGGAAAAACCGGTCCCGGGGAAAGGGTCGGGGCTCCCGGGGGCCTCGTGTGGAAGAATCCGGACGTCGCAGGCCTGGGTTTGGGATTTCCGAGGCGACATCGATCACTGTTCCGACGAGCGGGTGCGGCCAGATGCTTGCGTGGCGTTGTTGCGCATCCCCGCGCTGCCGATCCGATTCGATTCCGGCCCCGTGCCGCAGCGGCCCCGCCCGCTGCACGCTCCGAGTCGATCCGAATTCCCGCCGCGATGCGGACCGGTCTTGCCACCTCGGCGGCGAGCGGCCGGCCTGCTCAGAGGGCGGCGGGGCTCCTCAGAAGCCACCTGGACCTCGCGTCCTCGGAGGAAGCTCAGGACAGAGCTTAGCTCGGGGGCGGAAAAAAGGGGGGTGATGACTAGGGGGGGGGGATATCATGGCGTGGGCCATGATATTTCCCCAGATTTCATGGCGCCTCTTCTTATTTCATTACGTCCATGGCCCCCCCGCTGGGCCGCGCACATGCCGCCGGTCATGATTTGCACCCCCCCTCTTGGACACCCCCCTCTTGGCCGCTCCAGGTTAGCAGGCGCGGGGGCTCCCGAGGAGCCCCGCCGCTTCCACTGCTGGGTGGGGTGTCCGATGACATGCCGCGGCGAAGAGCACCTGCCAGGGGTTGCTTCCTAGGGCCCCCGAGGGCGTCGATCACCCCAGCATGAGGGCGGCGCGAGGATGGGTCCGAGGAGATGGGGTCGGACGTTCGCGCCGCATCGGCGATGCGGCCCGATGTGGAGCCCGATCTTCTCGACGCCGATGGCGCAGGTGCATCGACGAAGTCGTTCATGCATCATCGATGCATCGCCGATGCATCGGCGATGCGGCGCGATCCTCCGACCCCATCCGCTGGGACCCTATTTGGGAGGCCTAGGCCCAAAAGTTTGACAAAAGGGGGTGGGCATGAGGCCGGGCGACGCCGAGAGAAGCATCCGCGAAAGCACGCGGTGACAGGAGGAGCATCCGCCGACGCAGGAGCGGCGGCGGCCGCGGTACGGAGGGGAGGGGGGAGCGGAGGGGGTGGGATGAGGAGGGCGGATGGGAACGGGGAGGTCAGGCAGGCCTCGAACGGAGACAAATCGGTCCAGTGCGTTCCCGAACGCTCTCAGGACGTTCCCGTCTCCCGACCCTATATCGGTTCGATGTTGCCTCGATCCCGCCTTAGTCTCGGGATGGAGGGCCTCTGCGATGGGAGGGGGGCAGGTGGGGAGAGTCGGGGGTGGGATGAGGATGGAGGAGGGGGAGGGGGGAAGAGGAGGGGGGCTGGGACGAGGAGGGCAGGAGGGGAGAGAGGGGGGAGGGAGGCGTCGAGGGGGGAGAGGAGGAGGGCAGAGGGGAGGTCCACCCAAGGGAGAGAGGGGGAGGGCCCTACGGGGAGGGCCTCTCGAGGGGAGGGCCTCTCGGCGGCGGCAGCTGCGCGCCCCGCAGGACACGGACGGCGTCCTGCAGGGGCGGCCCGGGCAGCCCGGGGCCGCCTCGGGGCCGCCTCGGGCGGCGGAGGGGCTGCCCGGCCAGGCGGGGCCTCTCGGGGGCCCACGCCGAGAGCTCCGACGACGACGACGAATGCGAGGACGACGAGGACGACGACGTTCACGACGACGACGTTCACGAGGACGTTGACGACGACGACGACGACGAAGCTTCGGTCTTCACAGGGGATGTGAACGTGTCGACCCACGCGAGCCTCCCGTGCCATCTTCCTGGCCCTTGCGAGTCGTCGCTGGTCGACGCGACCTGACGCTCGTCGACGGACGCTGCGTACCGACGCCAGTCGTCGCTCCCCTAGCGATCTGCCAGACGCTCGCGACCTCCGAGGCCCCGCCCCCCCGGAGGCAGAGGCCGGCGGGGGGCGCCCGGCCCGCCTGGGCTGCCCGCGGCAAGGTGCGGCGAGGGCACGTCGTCCTCGCGCCCGCGCGCTTGTCGGGAGGGTCAGATGCTCGCTCCGGGGGCCTTCCAACCTCCGCCATCTATTGGTAGTCCCCAAACGTGGTGGTGACAACACCTGGCGGTGAGTCTCGGGCGATTTGGTGTCACCACCCCGTCTGGGGACTCGTGCGGTTTTCCGAGGATGTCCCGAACACTGGTGGGTCCAGGAGTCACAAAACCCGGTGGTGACCCCGCGTCCCCAAACCCAGCGGTGACCTTTTTGGGGATTCCAGGTCGCCACCTGGTATCTCACCACCCGGTTTGGGGGTTCCCAAATCTAACAGGGGATGCGTCGACCCCCACAGTCAACCCTCATAGCAGGGATGGGCAACCTTCCCAAGGGTACCCTTGCACCCTTGCCTCCTCGGCCCGTCCGCGGCCAGCTTTCGCTGGCCGCGCCCCACTCGCAGAGTGTCGACATGGCCTTCCAAGGCCCTGCATCCTGATCGTGCGTCCTCATGATACGGGTTGACTGTACACCTTAGGCGATGCTTAAGAAAACTTGAGTTTTCGGCCAGAGTCTCGATTATTCTTGACGTTTCAATGGAAATCCTAAGTTGTTTATAGAAATGTTGGGCTTTTATTCAAGATCTGAGACTATGAATTTCTTAACCCATGATTTCTTAAGCATTTCGCAGGGTGTATCCCAGGCCTCGTGGCTTTTTCGAATGGACCAGAGATTTGGGGCCCAGGCCCGGGATGTGTAGGATGGGAGGTGGCGTCCATCCTCGAGGGGGTACGTCCGACTAGCCCGCTGGGGGTGTACACCCTAGGCGATGCTTAAGAAAACATATTTTTTCGGCCAGGATCTCGATTATTCTTAACGTTTCGATATAGATCCTCATATTTGAATAGACATTCTGGGTTTTTGTTCAAATTCTGAGACTATGAATTTCCTAACCCATGATTTCTTAAGCATTTCGCAGGGTGTATCCCAGGGTTTCCCGCTTTTTTCATACGATTTTCGGGCGTGGATCAGCGACAGGTCCCGTTTCCATGAGAAATCGCGGATTCCCGCCGCCAAGCGAGGCTGCGCCGGCCGCATTTTGGAGAGGGCCCCTCCCCCGATCCATGGACTTTGGCCACCGCGCGCAAAATCCGGGGATCGCTAATCCATGTTTGCGCGTTTCCGATTTTTGTGATCGGCCAAACTTTTCGGTCAGAACTCGGGGACTGGTGGAGGCAAATCGCCTGCGATTGCCAGCGATGTCTCTCCCCCGAGCTCTGTTTTTTCTAGCCGCCCAGGAAAGGAGGGAAGTCCCGGGATACACCCCAAGGGGGCTTGTTCGGAGGCACCCCTATGGAGGATGGACGCCCTCCCTCGTATATCCAGGTCTTGGTCCCCAGATTTCTGGTCCACTCGACAAACTCCCAATGCCTGAGAGGTGGGTCTGGGTCGACATATCCTTTGTTACCGACGATATGGTTTTTCTGTCCATTTTCGTGGACGAAAAATCGGTGGTTCAAAGACGGTATCCTGAGGGATGAGGTCCTAAGGATAGGAATCGGAGGAGGAAAACGTACCAATACTGGTGCACTTCGCCTGTTTTCCCCTTTTCGGGCCTCCTGGCTTAATCTCTTCCGCACCGCTGGATTCGCCTCGAAATTCTGATCAGAACGCACCCCCGGAGAGGTCTGGGGAGTAGAGGTATCGGTACTTGTGTGGGATCCCCCAATGAAGGGATCCAAAGGTGCACTTTTTTGGTTTGAGGCACCTTGTTCTCGGGACCCCATTCCTCAGGACCTCATCTTTGAACCACCGAGAAAACAGATACGGGCCGATTAATGAAGCACCGACCGAGTAATGGCGCATTATCAAGCCCGCCTTGCGTGCCAAGCTCAGGTTGGCCACAGCAGCAAACAGCACCAGTCACGGGAATCAACGCCGAAGGTTTCGGCGGGGATCGTTCGAATCATACTAATTTCTAAGTTGTTGCGTTTCGAATAAATATTATTGAATCGCTTCGCTCATTCCGCCGGCCCATTTCGCATGACTGAGCCTCTTGGGGCCGCTGGGGGGCCTCTTCAGCGTCGCTTGGGGGCCTCCTGAGGGCCTCTTGGGGGCTTTTGGGGCCTCTCAGGGGCCTCTTGAGGCCTCCTGGGGGCTTCTTAAGGCCGAGGGCTCGAAGTTTTGTTTTGTGTTCCCCCTTTGGGGCATCGCTTGGGCCCCTCTTGGGCCGTCTTGGATGCCTCTGGGGCAGTCTTGGAGCCCTCTTGGGCCATCTTGGGGCCTTCTTGGGAGCTTCTTGGGCCCTCTTGGGGCGTTGGGGGCCTCTTGGGCCGTCTTGGGGCGTCGGGAAGCCGAAAAGATGGACACGCAAAAATCTGCCCAAAACCTAAGGAAAATTAATGAATTTTGCCTCTAGGGGCCCTCTGGGGAGTGCTCTTGGAGGCCTCTGGGGCGTCTGGGGGCCATCTTGGGCGTCTTGGAACGATCGTGTGGCATCTCGGAGCACTCTTGAACCATCTTGGAGGGCTCTTGGCGGCCTCGTGGCCCTTCTTGGGGCTCTCTGGAGGGCCACGGGGGCGGCGCCCAGGAGGAAAACCATCTCTGACCCGAGTCTGCTGGGGATCGCCCGGGGTACTTTTCGTCCGGGGACCCCCAGGGGCCGCCCCGCGCGCGCGAAGTAGAAGTATTATTTAGCAGTTACCGGAGATCTTAGCACGCCTCTGGCCCTTTGGGCCGGCGAATTGGGAGTCGGGGGGCCTCGTCGCCGCGGCAGGGCGCACAGCGGCGACAAGGGCACTGAATCCCACCCGGCAGGGGGGCGAAGACGCAATCGGTGGGTGCACGGCGCGGAGGTCGTCGAAAGATTTGCGCGCGCGCAGCCAGGAATGGGTGCGCGGTCGCGTCGCGCCCTTGCAGGCGTGTGTCACGCGACAGCGCGGTTTGACACACCGTGTGCCGAAAGAGTGTTCCAAGTTGTTGTGGCCTGTGGTGTCGTTTGTCCACCTCGCGGTGTAGGGGGGGGGGAGGCACTCGGCGAACGCGAGAGCGACAGCCTGGCCGTCCCGCAGGATGGGCGCCGCGTGCTCCACGCGACAGTGCGGTTTGAAACACCGTGTGCCGAAAGAGTTCTAAGTTGCCTTGGCCGTGGTGTCGTTGGTCCGCCTCGCGGCGCGGATGGGGAGGCATTCGGCGAGCGCGAGAGCGACACCCTGGCCGTCCCGCAGGATGGGCGCCCTTTTTCTTCACGGTTGCTGCAAAGAGTTTTTCATTTGCCCGTTTGCCCGCTTGCGCACCCATTGTTGTGCATTTGCGCGTGCGTGCGTGTGCGTTAGCGTGCATCCGTGTCACTGTCTGTGGCGAACCCATGCGCTTCCCCGCCTAGTGCCGCGTGAGGGCCTGGTGATCGGGTCACCACGCGTTGGCATCCGGCCCGGATCGTACAGCCGCTCCATTGTTCCAACCGCCGTGGTCGAAGTTCTTTGGCAATTGTTCTTGTGCGTAGTTCCCGAAAGTATATGGATTTGAGTTCGGTTGTCTCTTCGTTCCCGAGTGGTTAAAATTGCCCCGTGCAATGGTCCGCATTCGAATTTCCTCAATGCGGTTTGGCAGTGTCAATTGATTGCAATATTTCTGGCCAAATAATTATTTCAGTGGATCGCGGACGTCGACATTGCGTGTGTGTGTGAGAGTGTGTGCGTGTGTGCGTGCGTGCGCGCATGCGTGTTCAATCAGGTGTTTCCCTGTTTCAATTTGTATATTGCTGGTGATGCCGCTGCTCTCTTTGCTACTGTCGTTGCGGCTCCTGCTGGGGCTTACGATGTGGCCAGTGCTCCTACTGATCTTTTCCGCGCCAGGTGCGTCCACGCGCAGCCCTTTCCCATATGTTTGGTTCGAGCTGACGTATATGTTTTCGCAATTCGGAGCAAGTTTGCGTTCTCTGTTCCTTCTCGTATGTTTGTGTGGGGGGCCTTCCTTTTGTTCCGACCACGGTGGACAGTGGTTTAGTGTGCGTGTCGGCTTGTGCGCGAGGGGTGTGAGGAGCCTCTAGAGAGAGGCTCCTGGAAATTTGCGGTGCGGGGACTTCCAGGAACGTGTAAAATCATCCCCCTCATACACTCGGGGATATTCACGAGATGTCTTCGTTGTCCCGTCTCGCTCTTAAACCCGCACACGCCCCGTACCATGTTCGGATCTTTTCATGCTCCCATCCTGCTGCCCCCTGCTCCTAGTCCTCTCTTCCCCCCCGCTCCTCCTCGCACCCCCGTGCGTCCCAGCGTTCCGCCGGCTTCAGGATCTTCAAGCCGCCCTGGAGCCCTTTCAACCTCTTCTCCTACTCCTCCCCTTCGCCCTGCTCCTCCTTCTCGTCCTCCTTCTCCTCCTCCTCCTCCTCTTCATCATCATTGCTGCCCCGAGGTCTCCAAGGGTCTCCAGAGGTCCCCGAGCCCAGGCCTCCCAGCTGGGCTGGAGCAGATGGGGTCGGAGGGACGCGCCGCGTCGCTGACGCCTCGCCGATGCACCGACGACACAGGGACGGCGGCGCCTTCGACGGGGGATCGGTGCTGTTCACGACCAGCGAGCGCGGGCGGGCGGGACTTCGTGCGACACCCTTCGCCTCGCCCGCCGGCCGCCTGGCAGGGAGCGGGGAGCGACGGCGACGACGACGACGGCGACAACGATGACGGCGCGAACGATGACTCTGACGGCGACGGCAAGGGCGACGACGACGGCGACGGCGACGATGACGACGACGACGACGACGGCGACGGCGACGACGACGACGACGACGGCGGCCGCAGGCAGTGCGGATGCCGAGGCCCACCTCGCCGACCGCGCGGGCCCACCAAGCAGGCAGCCCGCCGCCGCGGCCGCCGCGCCGCCCCCGGGGCGGCAGCCAGTCCTGCCGCCGCCGCCGCGGGCCGCCTCGGAGGGCCTCGGACCTGGAGCGTCCCAGAGATCCAACGCATGGAGAAAACAAAAACCATAGCGGGTTTTTGTCCCAGCTTTCGGCCTCCAGGGGCCTTCGCCGGGCCCCCGGGGCCGTCAAACAACGAGTCAGGATGAAACACTGGTCCTTGGGAATGGCGCGAGACTCGCGGGGACCATGGAAGAAATCACGACGTCGGATCTTTGGAGACTTGTTTTTTTAGGGTGCGATATCCCGGGTTATCGGGCTTGCCCCCCCTCCCCCCCAAGGATAACCTAATTTTGCCGATTGTGCAGGTCCGGGGTGGGGGGGCGCGGGCATATGCAGGGCTGCCCACAGCGCGAAGGTTAGGTTATCGGCCGGCCCCCTCCCCCCCCATAACTTGGGTTATCGCCGATTAAAAAAACACGGTCTCCTGAAGTTGCAATTTTTAACATTGGTTGGCGCTGGGCCCCGGGACCATGACAGATCGATCTGGCTCCAGCGCAAAACAGAGCAGCAGACAGGTGCTTGGCCGGCAGCGAGCCTGCGCGAAGGCGCGGGATCCTCGTGGCTTCTGGCGGCGGGAATGCCACACTTCTGGACGGGTTGGCTTCCCTGGCAGATTGTCGCAGTCACAGTAGGCCTGGGCGGGCGCGCGCGGCGGGCGAGCCCCGACGAAGGCAGGCGGTTTGGGGGCACCGCCACGCTGCTGCTGGAGCGCGTGCACATGCAGATTGGGCCTCAGAGGTACTGGAATGGTCCTCGGCCCAGGCACGTGCGACGCCGGAGCTCCTGGCGCCCCCGAGGGGGCCCCTGACAGCCACCGCGGTGAAGCGGCCGCGACACACCACGGCAAGCGCCAGGCAGCGTGATCGTTATGCGGAGGAGGAGGAGGAGGAGGAGGAGGAGGAGGAGGAGGAGGAGGAGGAGGAGGGAGCGGGAGGAGGGGGAGGACCAGGAGGAGGAGGAGGAGGAGGAGGCGGAGGAGGGCGGAGGAGGAGGAGAAGGAGGAGGAGGAGGAGGAGGAGGAGGACGAGGACGGGGAGGGAGTTGGAGGAGGAGAGGAGGAGGAGGAGGAGGGGAGGAGGAGGAGAGGGAGAAGGAGGAGGAGAAGGAAGAGGAGAAGGGGGGAGGAGGGGGAGGAGGAGGAGAGGAGGAGGCGGAGGAGGAGGAGGAGGAGGAGGAGGCGGAGGAGGAGGAGGAGGAGGAGGAGGAGGACGAGGACGAGACGAGGACGAGGAGGGAGTTGGAGGAGGAGGAGGAGGAGGGGGAGGAGAAGGAGAAGGAGGAGGAAGGAGGAGAGGAGGGAAGAGGAGGAGGGAGAAGGGGGAGGAGAGGAGGAGGAGGAGGAGGAGGAGGAGGAGGAGGAGGAGGAGGAGGGGAGGAGGAGGAGGAGGAGAGGGAAGAGGAGGAGGGGGAGGAGGAGCAGGAGGAGGAGGAGGAGGAGGAGGAGGAGGAGGAGGAGGAGGAGTAATTAGAAGGAGGAGGAGGAGGAGGAAAAGGAAGAGGAGGATTGAGGTCCAGGGTGGAGGCGACGCGGATGGCGAGATCGGTGGCAGCTGGGCGCCGACGCCTGGCGGCGGCCAGCGCTCCGCCCCTGGCCATGTGGCTGGCGCGGGCCCCCGTTCGTGCTGCCTGACGCGTGGGGCCACATGCGAACCCCACCTCTAGCCCCCACGATTTCTGAGGGGGGGGGGGGGTCACTTCGCGCGGGAGCTCCCGAACGGAGTGAAACCCCGCCCTCCCACCCAGAAGTCGTGGGGGGTAGGGGTAGGTTTCGCATGTGGCCCCTGATGTTGTTCTCAAGTCGCCTGAGAACAGCATCGGCCCCAACGCTGCAGAACCACGCATTCGTCGCCGCCGCCGCTGTCGTCGTCGTAGTCGCCGTCGTCGTCCGCCGCCGCCGCCTCCGAAGGGTACCTGGGGGCGGTAAGTTTGTGTTTTTGCGGCACGGTTGCGGAAAGGAGGTTCGCATTTTGCGGCATCCTGTGGGGTGTCACGAACGCAGATAAGGGGAGGCTTTCCGCGATAAGTGGCGTGTAACAGGGATTGCGCAGGTTTTGTGATCGATGTATGCCGCACTCACGAAGAACCCAGGGTGCGGATTCGGAGGTCCTGGCCCCGTTTGTGTGCAACACTTTCTTCCAACAAAAGGGCTTTGTATTGGGTCGATTGGCGCAAATTGAACAGAGGCGCGCATTTCGGACAAACATGGATGATACTGGGAGCATGACAATTGCAAGGAGCAGATGGAGGAGCGGGGGGAGAATGATGAGGTGGAGGGGAGGACCACGAGGGAATTGGAGGAGGAGGAGGAGGAGGAGGAGAAGGGGGAGGCCCCGGGAGGGGTAGAGGAGGGGATATGGGCCTGGAGGAGGGATTGGTCGGGGGCAACGATAGGGGGGGATAGGCATAGGGGGGATGCATCGACCCCTAATCGCCCATTGATCGCCGATAGGGGCCCGATAGCCCCACAAAAGCAGGAATGTGCGGATTCACTATCGCGGGCCTATCGGCGATGTATCGCCGATTCCAGATCGATGCATCCCCCCCCCCTATGCCTATCCCCCCCTTTCGTTGTCCCTCAATTGGGCGGGGAAAGGGGGATATGGCGGATTGAGGCCTGGAAGAGGGATGGGACAGGAGGATGAGGATGTGGACGGGGAGGAGGGGAAGAAAAGCGGGAGCGGGAGAAAGAGTCGGAGGAGGAGGAGGCGGAGGAGGATGGGGAGGACGAGGGGGTGCAAGGTCATTCAATTGATTTTGCGGTGAAGATGAAAATGGGGGGAAGCTATGATGCCACGGGAGTCCACTGTCCTCTCTTTAGGTTTCTATTTTCCATGCTTCGTTGCCTTTCGCACAGCATATCGATTGAAAGAGCCGTCGGCGTCGACATCGTCATCCGCTTCATCAATCAGCTTTCGCCCTCGCACAGGCCGTTGTCACGGTCGAACTCCAGCGCGATTGTATGAACTCGAGCGTGCGAACGCTCCTCTGGTCACATATCCTGAGGGATACAGGATGCCCTTGGTCGGAGGATTGCAAGACTCGGCCTGGCTGGCGGCCGCCATGGCGCGACAGTTGTGGGGGGCGCAAGTCAACATCCACCTCGGCAGGCAAATGCGACCTCCCAAACTGCCCGTGCAACCACGCAAGCCACGCGCGAGGCGCGATCGCCACCCGGTGGGGATTATCAAGGGAAAGCAGGGAGATGACACCAATAAGCCATCCTTGGAAGGATTAAGGGGGCGTGGAATCGGACGCTTTGCGTTGGGAATCATATGACCATCGATGAGAGCATCTCCCAAACGTGATGCGTTTGTCTCCAAGGGTGTTTTCCACCGCGTTTTGTCTCTGGGGGGATGCGGCCTTTTTGGGATGCCTTTTGCTCGCCCCACCGCTGCTTTCGCTCGCAAGGGGCAGGTCGGCCCAGGCGGGCCGTCGGCATGCCTTAAGTCGGGCCTGCCCCCCTACAGGGGGATTTTCGACAAAAAATGAAAAATACCCCCAAAATGATCCAAACATAGTCCAAACATAGTCTGGGGACCATTTTTTTTTTGTGTGTGTGTGTCTGTGTGTGTGTTTCTTTTGTATATAAAAACCTGTTTGGTGTAATATTTAAGGTAACTTTTTATTTTTCGCCGAAAATCCCCCTGTAGGGGGACAGGCCCGACTTGAGGCTTGCCCCACCCCGACGTGCCCCGGAGGGGGCAGGCGCCCGCGCGGCGCCTGCCAGGAGCGCGGCCCTGTGCGTGCCAGCCTTCGCCCTGCCGGTCGTAGGCTGCAAGCCACGGCGCCTCCCGTGGCGGTCGGGCAGACTGCCGAGGAGGAGGAGGAGGAGGAGGAGGAGGAGGAGGAGGAGGAGGAGGAGGAGGAGGAGGAGGAGGGGGAGGGGGGGGGAGGAGGAGGAGGTAGGAGGAGGAGGAGGAGGAGGAGGAGGAGGAGGAGGAGGAGAGGAGGAGGAGGAGGAGGAGGAGGAGGAGGAGGAGGAGGAGAGGAGGAGGGGAGGAGGAGGAGGAGGAGGAGGAGGAGGAGGAGGAGGAGGAGGAGGAGGAGGAGGAAGGAGGGAGGAGGGGGAGGGGGGCGAGGAGGAGAAGGAGGAGGGGGAGGAGGAGGAGGAGAAGGAGGTGGAGGTCGAGGGACGAGGAGGAGGAGGCGGAGGAGGAGGAGGACGAGGTCGAGGGACTAGGAGGAGGAGAAGGAGAAGGAGGAGCGGGATGGCATCGCAAGCGACCCTGAGCTACAGGCGTGGCTTCTCACATCGCTCGGGCGCACGGCCTTAGAAGGGGGGGGGGGGGGCGTGCCAGAGCCGACCTCGCCATCCTGCCAGCGGCTGGCGCGCCTCGTGATCGTGAACTCGGGCACGCCTGAGCGCGCGACCCTGCATCTCGCGTTAAGTCGGGCATGCCCCCCATCAGGAGGAATAGTCAAACATAGTTAAACAATAGTCTGGGGACGATTTTGCGGATTGTTGTCCGCTATGTGTTTGTTTCGCTTTGTTTCTGCTATGTTTCGTTTTCCTCCAAACTCCGCCCGTGTGGGGCACATGCCCGACCTACATCTCGCGGCGACTGCGCTCTTCCCCGAAGCGCGTTTTCTCTCTGCGGCTGTGCGTTTTTTTGGGGGGGGGGCAGGGGGCCAGGTCTCCAAGGCGAGCGGCAGGAGACGGGGCGGAGGCGGTGGAAGAGGGCCCCCCTTCCCTGCTCGAGGCGTGCGTGCCTTCATGGAGACCCTCGCCGTGGAAGAGGGCCCCGACCAGCGGACGTCCGCGCTGAGCACCTTCACCGCGAGCGCCCCGCGAGAGAGTCCGAGGGGGGGGGGGGGGCAGGCAGGGAGCGGGAGGGGACCCGGCCGGACGAGAGCGCCGAGGAAGCGCAGACGCTGATCCACGAGGGCGAGGCACAGTCAGCACCAGCACCGCTGGCCCCCGTGTGTCTGTCGTCCTGCTCGCTTCCGCTCCTCCCCCCTCTCCCTCTCGATGCACCCGGCTGCACTGTTGGACCAGGGGGGGCCGCTTGTTTTTCAGGAGAGGAAAAACACACAGACACAATTAATCCTCGATCTTCAGAAACCCAGAACATATGGGAACATATTTTCATTTGTGTATATTTATTTGTGTCCTGGGGCCCCTTCAGTCTTGAGGTGTTGGAGTCCAGGTGTTGGGTCAGAGGGGGACGCGGCAGTCCCTGGTCCGAGAGTGCTGGGTCCAGGCTCGGCGTCCGGAGGATCCGGCAGTCCGCTCGGCGAGGTGCCGGCAGCACCTCGCACTGCGAAGGCCTGCGCTGCGCAGTGCAGAACTGGGAGGGACGGGAGGAGAGCGGTGTGACATGGCCTGCGGCGCGTGGATTAGCAACGGGCCCCGTTCCTTGTGCAGAATCGGCGCGCGCGTCGTCCCAAGCATCGGGCGCCTGTGGCGCCACGTCTCGTGGGACAGGTTTCTGCACGGTCCCGTTGGCCGTCCACCACCTGGGGGCTCGCTCCCAGGCTGCCGCGCCGCGGAGGGCTCTCCCTGGAGGTGCCCGGATCGTCCCGAAGGACCGCTGGAGGTTCGGCGAGCCCCACCTCTGGCCCCACTCCATTTTGCCCTGTGCCACCCGCAGGGGCGCGAAGGGAATCGCGCTTCGCGCATCGCGGCCTTGGCATCCGAGGTGTTCGGGGGGAGGGGCAGGAGGAGGAGGAGCGGGGGAAGAGCGAGGAAGGGGATGCCATCATGATGGCATGTGAGGAAGGCCAGGCGTAGGATCAGTCGGCAGGAGGAGTTGGAGGAGGACAGTAGGTTGAGGTAGACGAACAAGTAGACGAGGATGTAGAGGTTGACCGAAGAGGAGGAAACAGAGGAGGAGGAGGAGGAGGAGGAGGAGGAGGAGGAGGAGGAGGAAGAGGAGGGATGGAGGAGGAGTTGGAGAAGGTGGAGGAGGAGGAGGAGGAGGAGGAAGAGGAGGGGTGGAGGAAGAGTACGAGGATGAGGAGAGCGAGGGGGAGGAGAAGGAGGAGAAGGAGGAAGAGGAAGATGAGGGAGGCGGAGAAGGAGGAGGAGCAGGAGGAGGAGGAAGAGGAGGAGGAGGAGGAGAGCGAACATAAGTACGATAAGGAGGAGTACGATGATGAGAGCGAGGAGAGTGGTATCGGGGGCTTCTTGAGGGCCTGCTGGCGGTCTCGGGTCATCTTGGGGCGGATGGCTTAAAACGTTGCTTAGCGTCCCCGTCTTGGGGCACTCTTGTGGCCGTATTGGGCTGTGTTGGGGGCCTTTGGGTCCGTCATGGGGCCCTCTGGGGGTTCTTTTGAAGGCCTCTTGGGGCTGGTGGGAGGAGTCTCCGGGGCCTGCTGACGGTCGATTTTTGGGCGGATGGCTCGAACTTTAGTTTCGTGTTGCCCCTCTTGCTCTGGGGGTCATTTTGGGCGGTCGTGGGGGCTTCTGGGCTCTTTTGGAGCTTTCTTGGGCTGTCTGCAGGCTTTCTTGGATGCCTCTTGGACCGTTTAATCTTGACAGATCTTGGGCCTTTGTGCCTCTTGGGGCCTCTTGGAGCCTCTTTGTGGCCTTTGGGGGGCCTCTTGGAGGGGCCCCTTGCCTCTTGGGGGGGCTCTTCGGAGGCCTCTTGAAGCGCTCTTGGTCCGTCTTGGGGGTCTATTGCCCTGCCTAAGGCCATCTTAAGCGTTTCGTAGCGCTCTAGGGCCGTCTCCGAGACCTTTGCCCGTCATAGGGGGGCATGTGGGGGTTCTCTTGGCTCGTCTTGGGGCACTCGTGATGCTCTGGCGGCCCAGGCGGAGCACTGGTGAGCTTGTAGACCCACCCAGCCGCCCTCAAACGCGATTTTGGAGTCTCTGGGGGGGAAGAGTGGCTCCAATCAATCATCTCGCACGCCGTTTCATCCTGGCACGCGGGGGTCGGTGGACATCTCTGCATCGTTCCTACGAAATTCCCTCCCAGAAGGTCCCTCCTAAGTTAAGAGTGGGGGAGCCGAACTGTCTTACACTGTCCCTGGGTGACCTGATCCACGGTGCAGACTCTTGTGGTTGGTTGTTTGTGTGGCTGGTTGGTTTGCTGTTGATGACGAGTTCATACGTCTACGAAATAATTCATTATGATCCTCCCCTGCCCGGTGCCCACTGTGTTCCAATTGAAGTGGTTCTCCTGGGGATCGCAGCCTGTTCTTTGCAGGGGGACGTCTTGCGCCTAGATTGTGCCCCTGACCCCTGGTTTACTACAACAGCGGTTCCCGCCGGATACTCCCTCACAGTTTATCCAGGAGTCGCCCATTCGCGCAGCACTTCCTCGCAATTGATTACGACGCCGCGCCGACGACAGTCAGGGATGGCGCTCTGGCTTTGGATTCCTGTTAAGTCGGGCCTGTCCCTCTACAGGCGGAATAGCCAAAAATAGTGTGTGTGTATATATAACAGTCTTGGGACGATTTGTTTGAGTAGATTTTCGCACTCTGAGAGATCTCCTGCTATTGTCCACTTCCGCCCAATATCCGCCTGTAGGGGACATGCCCGACCTCAGACTGCTGCAGGACCTGCTCGGGAGGCGCGCCGCCATGCGCAGTGAGGAGGGGGAGGAGGGGGAGGAGGGGGGGAGGGGGAGGAGGAGGAGGAGGAGGAGGAGGAGGAGGAGGAGGAGCAGGAGGAAGAGGCGAAGGAGGAGCAGGAGGAGGAGGAGGAGGAGGAGGAGGAGGAGGAGGAGGGCCAGGAGGGCTAGGAGAAGGATCCCCCCCCGCGCTGCCCCGCGTGGGCCCCGGCGCGCTTCTCCGCGGCCCGGCCGCGCGACGAGGGCCGCAGCTGTGGGGCCCGCTCGCCCGGGCCCGCCCCTCCGCGGCCCGCCGCGCGGGGTGCGGCCAGCAGGGTGGCCAGTCAGCACGAACGAACCGGGTACGGAGCGAATGGAAGCAGTACGTCGTTTGGTCGGCCAGACCCAGACCTCCTCGAGTCCTGAAAAAATCACGACGCCAGGTTTTTCGCTATTGTCGGCCTCCGGGGGCCCTCACCGGGCCTCGGGAGCGTCAAGAAACGACTCGGGATGGAAAACCGGTCCCGGGGAATGGGTCCGGACCTTTGGGGGTCGCGTCATGAAAAAATCATGACGTCGGGGGTCTGGGAATGGAAGCAGTACGTCGTTTGGTCGGCCAGAGGGAGCCAAGGGGCTCGGCGAAGGAGCCCGGTGTGTATGTATAGGCGCGCGTCTGTCCCACGAGCGGGGCGGCTGGCGCGCCCACACACACCGCCCCTCCTTCCGGCACGAGCGGAACGGGTACGGAAAGAATGGGTGCGGTGCCGAACAGCAGTTCCTGTCCACTTCGAACAGGACTCGCTGTCCGCGCCGCCGCGGCCTCTGTCCATTCGAGAGAGAGGGCTGCCTGCCCAGCAGCGGCCGCTGCTGGTGTGGACAGCATTTGTGGTTGGGCATTGTGCCCATTCTTTCCGTGCCCACTTCGGGCGTCCATGGCCAGAGACTGGGGTGCAGACGGGGGTATTTTTTGGGTCTGCGGGCCCGCGCAGCAGGTCGAGCGCCGTCCGAACACTAGCCGGGCCGCGACCAGGCAGCAAGAAAAGAGGGGCAAGCGAAGCAAGCGCGCGGGCAGCCACTCAGAAGAAGAAGAAGAATAATAATAATAAGAAGAAGAAGAGCCAGAAACAAAACTCCCAACTCGGTGGCGTGGAGACCCCGGTGGCGACCATCAAGCAGGCGCAGCCAAAGTGGCGCGGCGGCGCGACCATGAACACGCAGAGGTCGATTTCGGTGTGAGTCGGCACAAGGCCCAACAAATACGAGCAGGACCGACAAGCACACCCGGACGACGTCCGTGCCGTAGGCGACACAACAGCACCGTGTCAGCGCAAGAGTGAAGAGGGGCAACCTCGTCACAGACAGGACTGCAAACGGCAGTACCTCTTGTTTGTACAGCAGTGGCACATGTCGAAAGCGAAGTCCATGCAGGAGAGAGCAGCCCGGGCGCACAGAGCCACACATGCCGAAGTCCTTGCACCGAAGAGGACGGCAGCGTAGCGAGATCCCACTGAACCATACGGTGACCAGTGGAGGCCGACACCAGACAGGAGCAGGCCAGGGGCCCCATGACCGCCCATCCCCAGTGTGATCCTTGCATGGAATTCGTAGCGAGACCTCACGGAAACCTTCCGGTCACCAGTGGAGGCCGACACCAGCCAGGAGCAGGTCAGGGGCCACGTGACCGCCCGTTCCCAGTGTGAACCTTGCATGGAATTCAGGCTGTCAGAGCACCATCAGACAGCGGTATTGGCGGCAACCCCAGCCGCGTGGGATAAACCCGGTGAAACGAGGGAGAGGAGGGGAAGTGCACGCCAGGCACGGTAGGAACCCCGATGTGGCAGCTCGCTGCAGCGGCGTTAGGATGCAGGAGGGGAGGAAAGGAAGGGCACGCCAGAGGAAAGGAGAAGAAAAGAGACACGATCATCGGAACCCCACTGAACCCTTTCGGTCATCAGCAGCTGGGGGGGTGGGCGCTGGCCTAGCGCAGCCGGTGGGCACCTCACCACCAAGTCCTGGCGTAATATTTTGCGTGGGAACAAAGCTGGCGGAGCACCATCCGACAGCGGTATTGGCGGCAACCCCAGCCGAAAAACAAAATCTCAGAGAAACAGGAGAGGGGGAGTCAGCGAAACGCTGACGCAAAAGGAAATGAAGAAGAGAGCTCACCATAACCCTGCGTACACTGACGCGCACGCCAGGCGCTCTGTATCGAAGCTTACCTCAGCATGCCCGCCACTGGCACCATCTTGCCGTTGTCCTCCACACGAA